CAAGTGCTGTACAAGGGGCTCCAGGCCCATCTAGCTAGGGTTTCTTTTATTTTCTCTCCCAAGCCACTGAGTGGGTTTGGGGTTTTCCTGTTGTAGCCTCTCTGAAACAGTCTCCAACTGCCACCCAAACTCCAGAAGCACCTGGGCTCCAAACACCACAGGACTTTCCCATCCTAGACTGGCTGAATCTGCTTCAGGCAGCCCCCCCGCCACATTTGCGTTCTCCACACAATTCATTGTGGGTTTTTCAGAGAGTAGACTCTCTCTCCCTCTGCTTCTCTCCCCTCTCCCTCTAATGTGGGTTGCAGGCTCCCCATGAATCCCCTTCTTGGGCTGCTGCCAAACAAGATTGCTGCCTTGAAATCCAGTCAGATTTTTGTTCTTCTACGCAACACCAATAAGCCTCACATCTTCATCAATATTGTTGGTAGATTTGGTAAAACAATTGAAAAATCTTAAAGGGAGGCTTTAGCTAAAAAAAAAAAAAGCAAAATTTTTCCAACATTTAAAAATGTGAAAAATCATTAAAGTGGAAGGATTTGGGTCTCTTTATGAAAATATGCTAGACAGTCTGAAAGGAGACCAATTAAATGAGAGGATATTTAATTTCAAAGGAATTTATATTATGTTAATTGTAAATATTATCTGCTTTATCTTTTTTATCTGATCTCTAAAAAAGTTGGGTAATCGGAGTGCTAAGATTCAGGCTTTAGAAAAACCTAATAAAACAGATCACAGAGAGATTCAAATCTAGAGAGAAGAATTTAATGGTGAGCCAGTTTCACCATGACAAAAACAGAGATGAGGAGCTTAAGGTGTTAAGACAGCCAACCTTTATATATCTGGTAGTCTCATAGGAATTGTCAGACGGCAGAGGAGCTGTTACAGCTGACTGGACTTCTGTGCCAATTCTAGATTTAAGAAAATTCACATGGCATACATTCACATTTTGTGAAGTAAGTCTTAAACTCGTGATCAGTTTGTAATAGAGTTATCCCTAAAGACCGGGTAGAATAGGTGAAAGGTATTTTTGAGCTTGGACCACAATTACAATGGAGAACCTTGTTCAGAAAAGAGACTAAGAATGTGGAACAATGGAGTAAATCTAGAGGTGGAGAAATTCAAAAGATCAACTTCTTGGAGAAGGAGAATATGCTACTGTGGAAATGCAAGCAGAATATGATAACCACACCCTGGATTTATGTCATTTAGCAGCTTCAAATGTGTGGGAAAGATTTGGAGAAATAGGAAAGATAATTGAGTCATTTACTAAAGTTATACAGCACCCAAAGGAAGTCTTTATAGGTTTTTTTTAAAACAAAGATTGACTTCAGCAGTAAATAAAATGCTAACAAATTCAGAAGTTAGAAAAATAATAATTGAATCTCTGGCTTTTGAAAATGTCAGTTTTCTATGCAAAAGGATAATTAGGTCATTACAGGCAAGGTCATCACCTTTGGAAGAATGAGTTCAAAATACAATTATTATTGAACCTTATAACCATGATGATGCATGGATAGAAAAGGTGATTTTGAGAGTTTTGAGGAAAAATCAAAATGTCAAGTGTCTTCTCTAGTGGCTTGGCTGTTTTGCCTTTCTGATCTTCAGCTGAAACCCCCAATATCTGTCCCTGGATTTTTATTTATTCATGCTACATTAACAAAATGGCCCTGTGCTCTCAGACACTGGGCCTCACACACTAGATGTGTAGAAGAAGGAGAGGAAGCCATTGCAGTATTTGAAAAATGTATTCTTTTTTAATATTTATTTATTATGTATACAATATTCTGTCTGTGTGTATGCCTGCAGGCCAGAAGAGGGCACCAGACATCACTACAGATGGTTGTGAGCCACCATGTGGCTGCTGGGAATTGAACTCAGGACCTTTGGAAGAGCAGGCAATGCTCTTAACCATCTCTCCAGCCCCCCAAAAATGTATTCTTTACTTTTATTTTTATTAAGTATGTTTATTTCTTTAAATGTAAGTGCAAAAGGCATTGGATCACATGGAACCGAAGCTACAGTTGATAGTGAAGCACCATGTGAGTGGTGGGAACTGATTCAGGATCTTCTGCAACAGCAGTAAGTGTTCTTAACCTATGAGTCATCTCCCTAGCATCATTGAAACTTTTACATGAGGAAACCACACAACCTGGCTCACAGCAAAATGGCTGACAAGATGGCTGGCCATAGTGTGAGAAACTAGATGGGAAAAGAAGAGACAGTTAATACTAATGTGCACAGCTCTGGAGTTGGGGGTGCTGGACACTGATGGGGTAAGGCCTGAGGGAGAAGGAGAAGAGTAGAGTCTCCTGGAACTGTTTGGGAAGGATCAGGAGGTGTGGCCTAGTTAAAGGAGGTGTGTCCCTGGAGCTTGGCATGGAGGTGTTAAAAACTCTCACTATTCCCAGTGTTTCTAACACTTGCCTGTGGATCAAGATGTGAGCTCTCAGCTGTTCCTGCCACCACACCTTTCTCTGCCATGATGGACTCAAACCCTGTGGAAGCTTAGACCCAAATTGAACACTAACTTTTATTAGTTTCAGGGGTCACAGTGTTTTATCATAGTCATAGTCATAGAAAAGTAATGAGAGTCAGATGTGGTGACACAAGTCTTTAATCCGAGTATTCAGGATGCAAAGACAGGTGGGTCTCTGTGAGTTCAAGGCCAGTGCTGTCTACACAGTAGGTTTCATGACATCCAGAGCTGTGGAAGGAAACTTTGCCAAAAAAAAAAAAATCGCGAGAAGATACCCTCAGGTCAGACTAATTTCATCCTCTCCTCACCCTTCTGTAGGCAGAGGTTGCTTGCTTGTTCCCAGCTGTCCAGACCACATAATAATCACTCAGAAATTATACTTTTTGCAATACTGTTTGGTCAATAGCTTAAGCATATTTCTGGCTTACTCTTATATCTGAGCCTGATGCTCAGAGATCTCACCTGAAAATAGAAACCTTGCGTCTTCACTCAGGATCGTGTCTTCACAGCCTGTGCTTACACTCAGACTCCTAGTGTTTCTTCCCAGGTGATCGTCTGTGGCTCCAGGTGCTTGTGTTTTACACAAATCTTTATTCCATAGTCCTGAGATTGTCCACGTGGATCTGGGTCATTGTCTCAGCCCAGTAGACCCCTTCTCCATGAGAAGAGACCCCTGTGGAGACCAAATACAGCAGGGCACTGACCCTGTCCACAGTCCATGTTACCCTGTGTTCACTTCCATGGTACAGTTGCTTTAGTGAATAAATCACAGTAAGAGAGGAACTGTAACTAATACTTGCTGCAAGGAGAGGGGGGAGCCATTGTTTGTCCCGGCCAACTGGCTAGCTTACACTCAAAATACACTCAAAATAATCACACAGAAACTATATTCATTAAATTACTACTTGGCCCATTACTTTTATCCTCTTATTGGCTAACTCTCACATCTTGATTTAACCCATTTCTGTTAATCTGTATATTACCACGTGGCAATGGCCTACCGGGAAAGATTCGGCACATCTGTCTCTGGCAGCTCCATGGCGGTTCTCTCCCTGCCCTTCTTCCCAGCATTCAGTTCTGTCTTCTCTGCCTACCTAAGTGCTGCCCTATCAAAAGGCCAAGGCAGTTTATTTATTCAACCAATAAACGCAACACATAGACAGAAGAACCTCCTACACCAAATAATAAAGAGAATAATGATGACCTTGTGGTGGAAGTTACATAACCTGTGATCCTCTCATTCCCTGACACTTTATGAGCTGAGGAGATGGAAGAGATGGATGTTGCAGGTTCTGTTGGACACAAAGTCTGATAACTATATTGGCTTTGGCTTCTATTCCATAAGTTTGTGCAGTGTGGGCACTGATGGGCTAATGTGAAAGGATACTGTCTTAATTAGGCTTTCTGTTGCTGTGAAGAGACACCGTGACATGGCAACACTGTTTGTTTGCTTGTTTGAGACGGGTTTTTGTGTGTGTGTGTGTAACGTGGGCTGGTAGGGAACTGGCTCAATAGACCAGGCTGGCCTGAAACTTAGAGATCTGCTTGCCTCTGCTTCCTGCATGTTGGGATTAAAGTAGTGAGCCGCTACTGCCTGGCTCTATGGCAACTGTAATAAAGGAAAACATTTCATTGAGGGTGGGTTACACTTCTAGAGGTTTAATTCATTATCAACATGACAGGACATGGTGGTATGCAGACAGACATGGTGTTAGAGAAGGAGCTGAGAGTTCTACATCTTGATCTGAAGGAAACAGGAGGTGAACTGTGTCCACACTGGGCATAACTTGAACATAGGAGACCACAAAGCCCAAGCCTCACAGTGACACACTTCCTCCAATAAGGCCACACCTCCTTATTGTGCTATAAGCAATAGGGGCCACTTTTTCAAATCACCACAGGTACAAACTGGAGATTTGAGGTTTCATCTCTGTTAAGTAGTGTGGAGAAAATTCAAATATATATATATAAAACAATTTATATATTGTTTCTTTGGAGGTTGACTTAATGTCTTCAAATCCCAGCCAAACACAACTGAAGTAGAAAGTGAAAGCAGAGGTGAGCAGGGCCTCCTTCCTGCAGGGAGAGTCACATATGACACAGTGTGTCAGAAGTGCTCAATCAGAGCTGTAAAATCCCCAGTCACCTCCCCATGCAGGTGTCCACAGCAGCCCCGCACCCTCCAGGATTCCGACATCACCTGTTTCCGTGAACATTCATTTTAAGTGCTGTTGTGTATTTTACCTGGAAACTTCATGTTTTTAGGTTTCACCCTGACTAACCTGAGGAGCAGTTGGCCTTAGGCGGCTCAGAGACACCATACACACAGCCCTCCATCCAGCAGCACAGGGGTCGGGCAAAGTCTTAGTCCCCAGGAGGGTAAGGTCTGGGTGTGGAAGCCCAGGACTGATGACAAGTTAGAAGTTAACATCCCATTGGGTGGCGAAATCCTGGAGAACCAACCAGAGTCACCATGGTTATAAAGTCTCAGCAGACTGCGGAAGTCAGACTTGCCCCACAACTGATATGAGCCCATGTCACTACAAATGCTCCTCCTGCTCCTGGCGGCCTCCCTAGCCCTGACCCAGACCTGCGCAGGTGAGTGCGGGGTCGGGAGAGAAACGGACTCTGCGGGGAGGGCGGGGGCGGCACCGAGGAAGCCGCGTCCCAGCGTGGCCCAGCCGCACCCTCCCGCCCATTCTCCACCTGCGCCCCGAGCCCTGCGCCCTGCTCCCCTCCCTGCCCGTGCTCCTGCCCGGGGTCCCGGGAGCAGGATCGGGGTATCACCGCGGCCGCCCCCAAGCTCGCACTCGCTGCGGTATTTCTCTACCATCGTGTCCCGGCCCGGCTTCGGGGAGCCCCGGTACATGGAAATCGGCTACGTGGACGACACGCAGTTCGTGCGCTATGACAGCGACGCGGAGACTCCAAGATATGAGCCCCGGGCGCCGTGGGTGAAGCAGGAGGGGCCGGAGTATTGGGAGAGGAACACAAGGAGAGCCAAGAAACAAGAACAGGTTTTCCAAAGGAACCTAAAGACCGCACTCCGCTATTACAACCAGAGCGAGGGTGGTGAGTGACCACAGTGGGAGGTTACGATCCCTCCACGCCCCTATGCACGGGCCGCAGTCGCCCCCGGTCCCAAGTCCAAAGTCGGGAGGAGAGCGGGACCGGACCTGGTTTCCTTTTCAGTTTAGAGTCCGCGGGTGGGTGGGGCTGACCGCGGGGTCCCCGCAGGCTCACACACCATCCAGATGATGTATGGCTGTGAGGTGGGGTCGGACGGGCGCCTCCTCCACGGATATGAGCAGCACGCCTATGATGGCCGCGATTACATCGCCCTGAACGAGGACCTGACGACGTGGACGGCGGCAGACACAGCGGCTCAGATCACCCGGAGCAAGTGGGAGCAGGCTGGTGATGCAGAGATCAGCAGGGCCTACCTGGAGGAAACGTGCGTGAAGTCTCTGCACAGACACCTGGAGAACGGGAAGGACGCGCTGCTGCACACAGGTGCAGGGGCCACAGGCAACTCCTCCCTCTGCCCTCGGGCTGCCCTCAGTCCTGAGGAAGAGGAAACCCTCAGCTAGGGTCATGCCCCTGTCTCTGAGGGCAGACAGGGTCCCTGGGTCTCCTGATCTAGCATGGCAGGGACTGCACTGACCTCCCAGGGCTCAGCCTTCTCCCTGGACAGTTCCACATCTGTCTCAGGAGGGAGGAGAGAGGATCCCGACATCACCATCAGTGACTCCTTCAGTCTGCAGCTGCTGTCAGCCATGGCCTCTCCCAGGCCGGGTTCTCTGCCCACACCAGTGTCTGTGGACACTGTGTCCTGTCATCTGAGTGTGTCAGTCCTTACACACCAGGATCGGAAATCTCTTTACCTGAGGGGGACATGGACGCACCTACCCTAAGCTGCTTCCCCCAGTTTCTAGAACTTTCAAAGAATACATTCTCCCAGATTCCTGTATGTGAGGTTTGCATCCATCCTACACCCCAATCCTGTCTAATCCTAGAATGGTCAGGTGAGCACTTATGAGGTGCCCTGGACAAATACTGAATTGTGGGGTTTTCTTCCTTCCTTCCTTCCTTCCTTCCTTCCTTCCTTCCTTCCTTCCTTCCTTTCTTCCTTCCTTTCTTTCTTTCTTTCTTTCTTTTTTCTTAAGTTGTCATTTTGCTTTTAGTGAGTTTTTCTTCCTCACTGGGGTGATACTGTTTCTCCCACCCCTTGTGTTATGTGTATCAGTCTCCACAGGTGCCATGGGGGAACTGATACTGTGGAGAATTAGACAAGTTAAATCAGGGTTCCCTTTAAATAAGAAAGATTCCTGGGAGCTTAGACTATTTTCTGCCAGAATTAACATCCAGAGCCACCTTCGCTTCCTCTGCTCCAACAAGTTACAGTGTTGCCCTAGTGAATTAGGAACTGAACTTCCTCAGAGACAGGGTCTTCTGCAACTCAGGGACTGGAGTGACAGGGAAGATCCACACACCCTGTGAGCACCACTGTGTCCTAGTGACAGCTGCACTGGGCTCCATAGCACACTTCAGGGATCCCTGGTGACAATACCTGGTATCTTGTCCCCCCAGAGGCAGGGCTAAGGAACCTATTTTCTCCGGCTGAGTGTCAGAGTTTCACCACATTTCTGCTGCTCAGTGTGGTGATGTCTGTTCACTAGGATGGACAGTAAAACTGGTCAGCAATTGGTTACAGCAGTTGTCCCTCAATGGTGGCAGTAGAAGTTGGTGGCATCCTTCGTGTAGACCGTGCCTCTTAATTTCTTGTTTTGATATGAATTTAATCACATATATAAATCAATTATTTTCCATTCCTTCATTCTTTTACTACCTAACTTATGCTATAGAACATCACATAAGGAAGACCATTGTCTCCTATGGCTCATGTAGATTCCCTTTTCGCTTCCCCAGGGAATTATGCAGTTCTGTGATGAGGGGACCAGCTCTACCTGCAAGTTACTAGTGTGATGACAGAAGTGTTCAAACAGACAAATAGTTCAGTGTCATCATTGATATAACATTGTCTTTGCAGATTTCAGTTTATCTTTTTAATCGGGGGATTTTGTAAATCTTCCACACAGATCCCCCAAAGGCACATGTGTCCCATCATCCTGGACCTAAAGGTGATGTCACCCTGAGGTGCTGGGCCTTTAGTTTCTACCCTGCATTCATCACCCTGACCTGGCAGAGGGAGGAAGAAGAACAGACTCAAGATATGGAGCTGGTGGAGACCAGACCTTCTGGAGATGGAACCTTCCAGAAGTGGGCATCTCTGGTGGTGCCTTCTGGGGAGGAGCACAAATACACATGCCATGTGCACCATGAGGGGCTGCCTGAGCCCCTCATCCTGAGATGGGGTAAGGAGGGAGTGGGTGCAGAGCTGGGGTCAGGGAAAGCTGGAGCCTTCTGCAGACCCTGAGCAGGGTCAGGACTGAGAGCTGGGGTCATGACCCTTACCTTCTGTTCTTGTCCATCTTTTCCCAGAGCCTCCTCAGTCCATGGTCCCCATCATGGCAGTCATTGCTGGTCTGGTTCTCCTTGGAGCTCTGATCATTGTAGCTGTGGTGGCTGTCGAGAGGAAGAGGAGGAGGAACACAGGTAGGAAAGGGCAGGGTCTGAGTTCTCTCTCAGCCCCTTTTAGAACTGTGCTCTGCCTCATTAATGGAAAACACGTCCACACCCCTCATTGCTCCTGTCTCTAACCTGGGTCTGCTGTCAGTTCTGGAAGCTTCCTAGGGTCGGGGACTTCCTTAGTCTCTCACAGTTTTTCTTCTCACAGGTGGAAAAGGAGGGAACTATGCTCCGGCTCCAGGTAAGAGTGAGAAGCGGGATTGTCCCTGAAGCCTTTGGGTTGAAGCTGGATTATTTGGGGAGCTCTGACAATACATAATAGCTCTTCCAGGAAAATCTTCTGGGATCCCTGTTTTTACCTTCCCATGAATATATATGTATAATTTTACCCTAGGCAGGGACAGTGCCCAGAGCTCCGATGTGTCTCTCCGGGACTGTAAAGGTGACACTCTGGGACCTGACTTGTGGAGGGGCAGAGTGGGCATGATTGGGTTTCAGGGACTCCCATAATCACCTTTGAGTGAGTGGTGGGTTGTTGGGATGTTGTCTTCACAGTGATTGTTCATGACTCTTGTTCTGTAGCGTGAAGACAGCTGCCTGGTGTGGATGTAGTGACAGACGATGTGTTCACGTCTCTCCTGTGACATCCAGAGCCCCTCAGTTCACTCTCAGCAATAGTGTCTGATGTTCCCTGTGATCTCATGGGCTCAATGTGAAGAACTGGGGAGCCCTGCCCACCCTGCACACCTGACCCTGTCCCTGCACTGCCCTGTTCCCTTCCACAGCCAACCTTCCTGTTCCTGCAGACAGGAGGGGACATCTCCATACTGTGCCCTATAGGCTGTCCTGAGCTGCAACCCCTGACTTCCCCATTGAAAATAAGAATCTGAATGTGAACTTGATTGATCATGTTTTTGATCTGACAGGTTGATTGGCAGCTAAATTAAAGGATAGAGATAGAGTTTATGGAGGAAATAAATGGCAGCATGGAGAACCTCCCAGAATCTGTGTTCACAATGCTGTGTGCATTTGGTGGGACAGGATGAGGCTGTGGGAGCTGAGTGAGAACAGAGCTGTGTCCAGGTGTAGTTCAGTCCTTTGTTGGCTCTGACAAGGTCACTCCTCACCTCTGTCACCTCCTGGCTCTGTTCTCTTGGTCACTTAGACCCACATGCTGACACCTGTGATCACAGGGACACTGGGATGGCCAGAGCCTAGTCCTGTCCCCAGGATTATGAGCCACCAGGGCTGCTGTGACAGTTAGGACTGCTGTCCTGGCTGTGACTCTTTCCCCCTGGCTTCTGTGTTTATTTCTTGTCTCTTTAGTTATCATGGAGGACTAGGCCTGTTCTTGCTCCTGTGAGTGGTGTCTGCCTCATTATCCTGTGGGGTCCCTGAGTGACAGCAGTAAGAGGTGTTTTCATCCCTGTCCCCTCAAGGCCCAACTAGGCCCCTGCACTCAGGAGACTGTGGGATGAGAATGAGAACTTCAGTCTCCTGAGCTCCTGCCTCCCTTCAGGCCTCTCCCTAAAAGTTCTCTCCTTCTTTCCCCATCTACCAGAATCTAACCCGGGTTGTAGGATGGGCAGAGAGGAGGGATCCACAGGGTCTCAGCTCAGATCCAAGGTCCCCTTTCCCTCTCTGCCTCTGGGAATCATGGTGCTGTCTCCAGTGGAGACTCAAGGATTTACAGGCTGAGTCTACTTTAGATTTATGTTTATTAAAAAACATGATCCTGGGACTGAAGAGATGGCTCAGGGCTTGAGAGCACTTGCTGCTCTTTGCAGAGGACCCAGATTCCCAGCACCAACCTGATGGTTCATAACCATCCATAACTACTGTTCCATGATATTCAATGCCCCTGTGGAAACCACACAGATACATGGTACAAACACTACTAACAAGAAAACACATATAGCCGGGCGGTGGTGGCACACGCCTGTAATTCCAGCACTCAGGAGGCAGAGGCAGGCAGATCTCTGTGAGTTCAAGGCCAGCCTGGTCTACAAGAGCTCGTTCCAGGACTGGTTCCAAAACCAACTTTTATGTAACAGTTGCTAAATAAGCCTTGGCACGACCATTAGAGATTCAGTCCATCAAAGGCTCGACCCACAGTTGCAAAGAAACTAAAACTCTTCTTAGAGAGACCTCTTTCTTTGATGTCCCACGGAACTCACCACACTGACAACGGTGGGTTATTTTTTCTTTCTTTCTTGGTTTTTTGCTCTTTTGCTCTTTATTCCTTAGGGGTCCTGCCACCCACTTCTCAAATAAATCAGACATGGAGGCTTACTCTTACTTATAAATGCTTGGTCTTGTCTTGTTTCTAGCCATATTTTCTTATCTTAAATTATCCTGTCTAACTTTTGTCTCGGGGCTTTTATCTTTCTCTTTGTATTTACCTTTTTATATTTCTGTACATCTTTCTTTACTCCTTTCTCCATGGCTTGCTGTGTAGCTGGGTGGCTGCCCCTTCTTTTCTCACTCCTTGATCTCTTGTTCTTTCTTCCTTTTCTCCCAGATTTCTCCTATTTATTCTCTTTGCTTGCCAACCCCACCTGTCCTTTTTCCTGCCTTGCTATTGGGCATTCAGCTCTCTATTAGACCATCAGGTGTTTCAGACAGGCCCAGTAACACAGTTTCACAGAGTTAAATAAATGCACCATAAAAGACTGCAACATGTCAGGTAGTGGTGGCAAACTCCATTAATCCCAGCATTCAGGAGGCAGAGGCAGGAGAATCTCTTGAGTTCAAGGTCAGCCTGCAGAGTGAGTTCCAGAACAGTCAAGGCAACACAGAGAAACCCTGTTTTGAAAACAAACAAAAACGGAACACCTCTTTACATCGCTAAATAATTGTTCCACAGCATAAACAAATGTAACATACCTTTAAATAATATTCTACAATACAATGCGTCTCTTCACAGCAATTGCATACTGACTAACACAGTCATAAAAATATAGTCTTAGCAGGGTGTTATGTATCTACAGAGAAAGTTCCAGAACAGCCAGGGCTACACAGAGAAACCTTGTCTTGAAAACGAAAAACAAAACAACAAAAAAAAGGCAGCCTTTCCTAGACATTTTAACATGTCAGAAACTGGAATCCCTCTGGTTACAGTCAACCAGGTGGCAGTCATGTCTTTGTCCCAGCTCAGTTACATGAGAATCTGCAGCTTGTCGTAGTCCCATGACCTCAGCAGATGTGTCCGTTGTTGGTGTCCAGTGCAGGAGGGTCAAATGGCATTTAAACATATCTAGAAGGGGCTGGAAAGATGGCCGCCAGGTAAAAACATTTTCTGTTCCTCCAGAAGATGATGGATAGTTGCCAGCACCATTTCTACATGTGCAGGTGTGGCTCACATCTGTCCTGAACTCTGACGCTAGGCACCCACGCCCTCTTGTGGTCTCCTTGGACACTGCACTCACCTGGGGCTCCCTGGCCAGGCCAAGAAGTGTGGCTGAAGGCAGGAGAAACCTCCAAACCATGGAATGGGGGCAACAAATCAAAGCTGAGAGGCTGATGTCACAGGTCACGTGTGGAGAATGACCTGAGACACCAATCGGCTTTCTGCACAGCTTCCTGCTGCTTTCTCCTTCCCCTTGATCTCATTCGGCCCCGAAGTCCTGCCTATCTCTAGCACAGGTCACCATGACTCTAGACAACAGCAGGACATCCTAGACGAGTCTTGCAATGGTCCAGTGTTCATGATGTGTCAGAAACCAGAAACATTGGACCAGACCATGGACTCACTGCCATGAATATCCCCATGTAAAGCTGCTTGGGCAGAAAAATGAACTGTGTTATCCCTCTTCTCATCAGCTCATGAAGTGTCAGAGAGAGTGAGAGGGACACAGGTTGTGTAACTTCTACTGAAGTGTTATTGGTGCTCTGCCGTGTTAATACTACGTGGTGGAGAGGCGGGGAAGATGGAGGAAGGGAACAGTGCATGCGCAGTGGAGAGAGGCGGGGAAGATGGAGGAAGGGAACAGTGCATGCGCAGTGGAGAGAGGCAGGGAAGATGGAGGAAGGGAACAGTGCATGCGCAGTGGAGAGAGGCGGGGAAGATGGAGGGACTGAACAGAGCATGCGCAGTGGCGAGAGGCGGGGAAGATGGAGGAATGGAGCAGAGCATGCGCAGTGGAGAGAGGCGGGGAAGATGGAGGAATGGAGCAGAGCATGCACAGTGGAGAGAGGCGGGGAAGATGGAGGAAGGGAACAGTGCATGCGCAGTGGAGAGAGGTGGAACAAGGGACTCCAATGGTGAGAGGTGTGAGAGAAGGCTGAGGGCGACAGGGACCATGTCCTTGCATAGCAGTTTCAGCAGGGCGGTGGGCAGCAGCCTGAAGCTTTCACAGACTCAGCCTCCCTCCCGCCCAGCAACTGCCCAGCTCTCCTGGCTCTGGAACCAAATCTTCTAGGCCAGGCAGAATTTAAGGTGCTGGAACAGAAAGCAAAATTCTCCTAGTGGGTCACTGGGGGTGACGGTGATGGAACTGTTCCCTTTTCCATCCCTGTGGGCAGCACCCCTGCCACGAGGTCTGTATCACCACCCATTAGGTATGGACCGCGCCTCCATACCTTTTATGAGCTGGACAAGGCCCTAGGGGTGGAACACAAGACGGACACGACACATATAGAGAGTTTGGAGTCATCCTTCAGGGAGAGAAGAATGCCCCATTTATTTAGCTTAATCCAGTGTTAAATACTTTTGGCCCCAGTAAAGAAAAACTCCTCCCACCCAGAGGGGGCTGGGGAAACTGGTGCCTGTGAGAGCTTCTCCTCAGGCAGGTGGTCAAGGGTGCAAGGAAGTGTCAGACAGGGTAGATGGTCATTGGCGCCTGAGCTTCTTCCAGGCAGGTTGAGAAATTACCATTTTAAAGTGATACAGAGCCCTTAGGCTATTATACCAGGCTACAGCAGAGCAAACACAAAACTTAGCAGAAAGCTTAGCTGGTTGCCAAAACAATCCTTGTTTTGCATGCCAGGGAGCAAATGTAGGCCCATTCCTTACACACCCCTTGACTCCTGGACTCATGGGCTACTGGAGTAATTGTACCATATATTAGACATTGATTCATAGTATATACCACGTTCTGGAGACCCTGCCTCTGTGGTCCAGGGCTGCTGTCACCTAATTGAATCTGAAACTGTGTCTTCAAAAGGCCATTCCATCTTTCTATTAGTCCAGGTGCTTCAGGATGGTGAGGAACATGATAAAACTGGTAGACTTCATGATCGTGGGTCGACTGTTTATTTCTCTGCAGTGAAGTGAGTTCCTTGGTCAGAAGCGATACTGTGTGGAATACCATGGCAGTGGGTGGTTTTGACAGAAACACTATGTGCAGGAAAGGCAAATCCATAACCAGAATAACTATCTACTCCAGGAAGGACAAAGTGTTGTCTTTTCCATAGAGGGAGTGGTCCATGAAGTTGTGGCATCTCTGTCCCTATGCAGCAGCCAAGGAACGCAGCTGAACACAGCTATGTGTCAGGGTGTCCCAACATGGGGGCTAGAGAGGTGATTGTATGAAGGGATGGCACAGTCATGGAACACCTTTCAAGGACAGGTGCTAAAACTCTGTGGAACCAGCCCAAGAGAGAGAAGTGTGTCACTGTCCCGCGCTACCGTCTCGCCCGCAAGAACGACGCGGGACACTTAGGATCCTTCTGCAGAAAAGCTTTAATGCATCTTGAGAGGGAAAGCATAAGCTTACATGGCGGAGACCCAGAATGAGGGGAACCCAGCCCTTATAAAGGAAACAGTCCTCATTTCTGACGTGTCACTCTTGGATTGGTCCGCTGCCCATTATCCCAGATGATGCCTCGGAAGTAGGCAGGGATGCAGCAGTAGAGAGTTACCAAGCACATGCGCTAGGATTAAAGGCGTGTGCTACAACACCTTGAAACTCACAGAGATCTGCCTGTCTCTGCCTCCCAGGCATTAGGACCAAAGGTGTGTACTACCACACCTTGAGGTCACAGAGGTCAATCTGCCTCTGCC